CACGACTAGATTTTACCTTTAGCCATTCATCTCCTGCCCTATCCTTTTGTTTGTTTCTTATACGTAATCCCTCTACTAACATTATCGGCCCCCTAAAGGATTTTGTCTGCCGCCATCTCAGGGTTGGCACTATGCTTGGCACACAGCAAGCGCTCAGTAAAACATCCGAACAACCTCAGGAAGTAGTGCGTGCTAGGTTTCAAACCTGGCGCTTTGAGACCCAGTTTAAAGCTGGAGTCCCCCGGCTCCTCCTCCAGGAACGCTCAGAACTGGGCCAGGCTCTCCAAGCTCCTGTATTTACCACTAAACCCCTGGAGATGGCTGCTGTCCCGAAGCTCATCTCACAGTCGGGGAACCTGACGCTCAGAGTGAGCAGCGCTCGTCTGCTGGTCCCACAGGAAATAGGGCAGGAAATGGGGGGACACGGGCGGGAGGAGTTTGCAAGACGCGTCCGGCCGTCCCATCCCATCACTAGGGCCGGAGCCGCGACCGCGCCCCCGCCCTGGCCTCCGCTCTCACCGCGCAGCTGCTGTTCGGCGCCGTTTTGAGTCTCCAGCAGCCGCTCCATTATCTGCCCGTGGCGCCCCAGCAGCCGCCGCTGCTGCGCCTCGGCGTGATTGGCGCTCAGCAGGCTCAACAGCCCCTGGGATAACTCCTCCATGTCGCGGATGGCCGCCATGACTGCGTGAGCGCCAACCCCGCGCAAATTTAACTGCCCATGGGTCCCGCCCCCTTCCTGAAGACACCCATTTCCATTGGCTTGATCTTCCGTCAGTCTTCAGCGAATGAGGCAAGGCCTCTTTAGGTCTGGCCTAGTGCGCCTGCGCTGGTTCCTCCGTCAGTCATCGGCGATGGCCAATCGGTACAAGGAGGAGGTGCCTCTGGGAGTTTTGTCTGATGCGCCTGCGCAGACTGGAAAGCGGCTACTAGAACATGTTTATCTCTTTAGGTGAAATGTCTACTGTTTGCAGGGCGGACTTGTAGGGGCGAAGCCGTAAATTGCTTCCAGTGGAGCTGACATTCTACAGTGTGCATGGGAGACTCACAATAAATAAGTTCTATAAGAGGCTGCATAGCAAAATAGAGTCTGCGGCCAGATTTATCGAATTCCAATCCCAGCTTTGCCACTTACTAGCTGTTGTTACCTTGGGCAAAATTTCATCCCTCTGTGCCTCACTTTCCTCCTCAGTAAAATGAGAATCACCATAGTACCTACTTTAGAGTTGGCGTGAGGATTGAATGAGAACAATGCCTGTTACTCAGTGCTATATAGGTGTTAAGTAAAACAAAACGCTAGCAGGTGAGGTGCCTAATTGACATGAACCACGCTATGTGTGGGGTTACAGTAAAAACAAACTGCATGCTTTTGTGATATGTTCCTCAAACTGAGGTGAAGACTTCAATGCAGTGGGTCATGGCCAGCATTTTCTACAAAACAATGGGAAAATTCAATGCATTCTGTATGGAAAGTTAAGTACCTGTATTGTTTGGGGATACTCTAAATTCTGCATTTGTGTACTGGGTGTGGCAGGTTGTTTTTGAAAAGACAGCTAGGGAAATACTGTAGTTCCAACCATGCAACTCCTCAACAGAAGGTAGACTCTAATTCCTTTGTTCTTGAATTTGAGCAAGACTTTATGCAACAAATAGAATGTGGCAGAAAGGGCACTGTGTGATGTCCAAGCCTAGGTCAGAAACTATAATACATCTTCTGCCTGATGCTAACTTTCATGTGTGTGTTCTATCTCTGTGTCTGTGTGTGCGCGCGCGCGTGTGTTTGCCTCTCTAAATTTCAGGATTCTCTCTCTGAGCCCAGTTGCCATGCTGTAAGGAAACCCAGGCAACGTGAAGGTCCCAGCCAAAGCCAGCGTCAACCACTAGAGGAGTGATTCCAGCTGCCAGCCTTCGAGCCATCCCAGCTAACACTAAGAGGAGCAGAAAAGAGCTGTCCCCATCAAACCCTGCTCAAACTGTACATATGTGACCAAGATCAATGCCATTATTTAAAGCCAGTAAATTGGGGGTAACTTGTTACATAGCCATAACACCTGGATGGCTGGGTCATATGTGAAATTTGTATCTTATTAAAGGTCATGTAAAAAAATCACTGAAAGCCACTGCTGTAGTGGCAAGACTTCATAATAGGCAAAGAAACAAATGAACAGGGTCTTTCTAGATAGGAATGCCTGTTATGAAGGCAATAAAACAGGGTCATAGGATAGAGTCACTAGAGTTGGGGTGGGGGTGGAAAGTAACTAAGTCAGGTGGTCGGGATTGGACTCCCTGAGCAGGGGACATGTGAACTAGGACCCGAGTAATGATAAGGTGTTGTGATACAAATCGCTAGGCAGAAGAAAGAGCAAGTGCAAAGGCCACTGAGGTGGGAAAATTTTAATTTGTTTAAGAAATAGGAGGTTGGCATTGCTGGGGAAGAGTGAGCAAGCGGGTTGCCAGGAGCCCTGAAGCTTTTTCTAGTGTAACAGGAAGCATCGAAAGGCATTAAGTAGGGGTGAGCTATGGAGTGGACTGGCTCCAGATCTTCCGGGATCAAGAGAACTTGTGGGCAAACTGGATGTGCAGAATGAAGAAGAGAAAGAGGATGCTTCCTGGGTGTTTGGCTTAATACTTGGATGGTGGTAATTTAAAGGCCAGCAAGGGGCGGAGCAGGCTTAAAGGCAAGGGGCTGCATGAAATGAACAGTTTGGAGAAATTCCCATTGCCTGGGCAATGGCTACATTGGCTACAATGGCTACAATGGAGCTATCAAGAAGTGGTTGTTTGGCTCTATGAGTCTGTAGAAACATTTGGGCTGGGGATAAAAATCCAGGAGTTGTTGGAGTGCAGCTGAGGCCAGATAAGACCACCCTAGGTGAGAGTAAGGACAGGAGGAGGTCCAAGGTCCAAGCTCTGAGCCCCTCCAACTGTAGAAATTGTAGAAAAGAGGGAAAGCCAGCACTGCCATGGAGAGAGGAAAGAAGCTACCACAGAGCCATCAGGAAATACGATTTCAGGTGACCTTCAGGAAACTGAGAGGTCCTGAACCCCAGGCCTGGGGCCACCTTTCCCCTCACAGCTTATTTCCATGAGAGATTTTTTTCAAGACTCCAGGGGCTGCTCATGTGTTTATATTTTTACAGTGGGGACACCCTTAGGACTAATATATTTATTTAACCTCCCTTGGGTCACAGATCCCTTAGAAATCTGATGAAAGCAACGAGAGAGGCTATTCTTTAAAAAATGTACCCAACATCCATTCATCCTGAGATTTTGTGTAGCTTTTGAGTTTAGGAACCCAGAGAGCCATTCCCAGATTTTCAGGTTAAGAAGCTCCCCACATTTTGTCTCTTAGAACGGCTAGCAGATGTAGAAATCATGACACCTGAGTGGTTTCCTGCAGCAACATTGTCGTCTGGGCATGGAGCCCGGTTCCCGGAGTCAGCACTTAAGTAGTGTTGCTCACCCTCCTGGTGGCTGAGCATTGGATGCTGACATTGCTTTGTCACTATCAGCTCTGTGACCTTTGGTGGCAGGGGCTCACCTTCTCTGACTAAAGGCAATGGGTTACTTAACAATGTAATGTGAAATAAAGAGGAGATAAGACCTTGGTTTCAGTTTCTGGCTCTGAAGTTTACCTGTGACCTTGGCAAGTTCTTAACTTTTCTAAGCCAGGGGCTAATGATAGCTCTCTTATCAGCTAGGGTGGGATGTTCAGGAGAGAAGCTATTTGAGATTACACAGCCATACCTGACAGATATAAATGTCAGTCAAAAGAAGGCCACTCACTTCCCTTCCAAAAAGCAAAGCTGGAACCACCTCACGACCGGTAGGATGGCCACTATAAAACAAAACAAAACAAAACAGAAACACCCACTGGTGAGGATGTGAAGAAGTGAAAACCCTTTTGCATTGTCGGTGGGAGTGTAAATGGTGCAGCCACGACGGAAAACAACATAGTGATTCCTCAAAAAATTAAAAAAGAGAATTACCATATGACCCAGCAATTTCACTTCTAGGTATGTACCCACAAAATTGAAAGCTGGAACTTGAAGTGATATTCATACACCCAGTAGCCAAAAGGTAGAAGCAACGTAGGTGTCCATTGTTGCATGACTGGGTAAACAAAATGTGGTACATACGTACAATGGAATATTATTTAGTCTTAAAAGGAAGGAAATTCTGACACATGCTACGACATAGATGAATCTTGAGGATATTATGCTAAGTGAAATAGGCCAGATACAAAAGGACAAATACTGCATGATTCCATTTATATGAGGTCTCTAGAGTAGGCAGATTCAGAGACAGAAAATAGAATGGTGGGGGCTAGGAGCCTGGGGTGGGTGAGGGGCAGGTGATGACATGTTAGTGTTTAATGGGGACATAGTTTCACTTTGGGAAGATGAAGAGTCCTGGAGTTGGATGGTGATGATGGTTGCACAACAGTGTGAATGTACTTGATGCCACCCAACTGGACACTTAAAAATGGTTTAGAGGGTAAATGTTATGATATGTATGTTTACCACAATTAAAAAAACAGGTGTCAAAAAATCAAAGCAGGAAACTGGGTGGTAGGGAGAATGGGTTCTTAAGCCTTAGCTGAACGAGATTACAAAGATGACAAAACAGTCCTGGGTAATTCCTTGTGAGAAACAATTTTTAAAAAATTTCCAAAAGACCCTTTCTTGGCTGACAAACTCCTCTGAAAACTTGCCAAGTGCAGTGGACCTTCTGCTCAGAAACATACACCTTCGCATAAAATTCCTAGGACTTCCGAAAACCTCTAAAAGCCACCCATTACCTCCTGATTGAACGATCCAGAGGTAAAACGGAGGAAGTGAGAAGTCAGGAGAGCAGTCATCATCGGTCACCTTTGGAGGGAGTGAGGGAAAGGGGCTGGGGACAGGAGGCTGGCCCAGGATGCTCCGCTTGTCCTGGTGCTAGCAACACATGACATGAGGATGTCATTTGCAAACAGCCATGGAGCTGTATACTTTTGTTCATGACTTGTACACTTAAATAAATGCATTTATATTATACCTTAAAAAATAAAACAGCAAAACAAAGTATTTGAAGGTCCCTATTAGAAAAAGGTTTGGCAGGAGATGCTTCAAAGTGTTGACTATGGCAGGCACTTCTACCAAATGGGACCACGGCACCCTCCACTGTGCCAAACTTTTCTGTATTGTTTGAATTTTGCCTTTTACAATTGCAATGAATTATTCTGTCATGATGAACAAAATAATCAGTAAAGATTTTGTCTGAGGTGCTCACAGTGGTAGGTGTTTGTTAGAACTTTCTGCCACAGTGGCGATGTTCTTTATCTATGAAGCCCCATACAATAGCCACCAGCCAAGTGTGGCTATTCAGCACAACTTAATTATAATTAATTTGCATTTAATTAATTAAATGCTACCTGTGGCTACAGCATGGGACGGTGCTGGCCTAGGGCTGTGCATAAGGGAATGTATTGTAATATTCTTGCCACTTTTCTGTAGCTTTGAACATTTTTCAAAATAAGTAAATTCTAAAGAGATCTATTTTAAAGCTTAAAGAGGAATACGAGACAAAGATCAGACACGGACGCTGTCAGCATTATCATAAGGTAGCTTTATTAAATTCCTTTACCTTCTAAAAAACGATTACAAAAAAGAATACTTCATTTAAGTGTAATACTGTCTTTATGGACGTACCGTGGTTGGAAAGTGAAGTTAAAGGTCATGAATATATGTGAGAAGAGAATGAGGACAAAGGCAGGACCCCTGCTGTTCACCACACCAAGCCAGGGGTACGGGGAGAGGGGAACACAGGGACAAATATGGATTTATCTGAGTGTGTGTGTTGGGAGGGGGGTCAATGAGCTGCTTCTAGAAGCTTAAAATAAACACACCCGGCTGGCTCCAGGCCAGGACACACAGGCACACAACCCTCGTACCGCTGCCCAAAGCTGCAGTCCCCCATCAGATACCAGCAGACATCCTCAAGCAGCTTTGATCGTTTTCTCTCACGCTCACGCACATGCACACGCACACGCACACACACACACGCGCACACACGCACACTCTGGGGTGCCTCCCTCCCTTGGCCATCTAACCTCTCGTCTTAGGTACAAAATCTAAAAGACTTTGACTCCTTCCATCAAAATCGAAGCAGGCCAGACTCCACCAAGCCAAGAAACCCACTTTTCTAGGAAAGAAGCCAGCATTTCGCTTTGTTGAATGAACGTGTAAGCCCTCAGGCCCTGATCTGTCCTCCTGTGGTCTGGCGTCAACCCTGGCGTAGAGCTGAGAACTGGAATAGAGAGGTCAGGACACTTCTTAGCTAGGGGTTCTTTCCCCTGTCACAAGGCACTTTCCAAGGCTCGGAACCCATCCCTTTTCTTTTCTTTCTTTCTTTTTGGTTCACAAAAGCATCAAGAAAGAAAACTATGTGGAGATTCTGGGGACAAAACAGGCCGTGAAGGAAACGGCGTGTGTCTGGCGAGCCCCATTTCCAGCAGGCTCTGTTCCAGGCAGCTCCGGAAAGCCTGTAGGTTGTTAAAAAAACCCAGCTGGCCCTTGTTTGGTTTTAGGCGAAGCCCTGTCTCTTTAACTTTGTGCTGGGAGCCCTCGGGGGGCAGCCAACTTTTAATCGTGCACACATGGGGTTTCTGGAGCCTGCTCCATGCTCTGCCAACAAGCACATTCCCTGTTTTTTTTTCCTTTGAGGGGAAAAATCCTGGAGTCTGGGAGGACCAGGACAGCTCACAACCTAGGTTCTAAGACCAGGGACTCAGCAGCCACTCTGGGAACTAGATTCATTTCCTGCGTCTCCAGGTCTGCAAGGTTTTCTAGGAAAAAATAATATTTGCTGGGGGCCTCTATGCAAGGAGGGGTCGGATTGTGGGGTAACTTCTCGACATGAACTGCTCACACATCTCAACTGCTGGGTCCTGAGTCCCCCACTTGAATGGGGGCGGCAGTGGCAGCGAGGAAGCAGAAGGAAGGACCGAATTTCCTGACTCAGGTGACAAGGACAGAATCTGTTTTGTGAAGAGACCAGAAGAAAATTCACTCAAGAAAGACGCCTGGGGTGGGGTGGGGGTGTGTGGACGAGATGCTATTACATACCAGACAACTGAATGTGGGGGGCAAAGGGAGCGCCACCCACGCGTACTAACATTCAGGATTAAAATGAAAATATGTAATTCCAGTGACTTTCAAATTTGGCAACAAGTTAATATGATTCTCCCTCCCCCGACGATGATTCAAAAATACAGTATTTTTTTCCTTTCACCCTTCTCCATCCACCGTTGCCAGCTGATTGTTCTCAGTGTGCTTCATGAACCCACACCCCAGCGTCAGCCACTGGCGCCAATTTATATGAGAATGGAGCTTTGGTCTGCACTGCGGCTGCTTTGAACTGGGGTACCAGAGAAAACCCGCTTTAAGCTGGAGTCTTGTCACTGTTGGGGGCTCCCCCTGGGAAACAGAAGAAACATCCACTTGCTGTTGGGCCTTGGGCCTTGGTGGGTATGAGTAGGGGCTGATCAGGGAGGAGACGAGGGACGAGGGATGGTTTGCTCTGGGGCTTGCTGGCCCCCGAGGGCAGGCGCCTCTGGTCCCCCCTCACGGCTACTCTTCTGCAGAGGACGATGCGGGACTTTCGTCATCTGACATCGGGGCAAACTGAAACGAGAAGCAGAACTCTTTGTTTGGCTCTGGCTTTGTTGTCTGGCCATGAGGCTGTGGTGAGTGATCCTGTGGCCAAAAGGAGGCGACGTTGTGGGGAAGATGCCTCAAAGACGTAAGTGAACGCACTAGAGGATTTTCATCAGAAATGAGGGATGAAAAGGAATGAAGTGGATAGCGGTTGGTCAGGAAGGAAGGGGGCATCTGAGCTGAGCAATGCTGAGAGGCCAGCCAGAGGGGCAGAGCAAGGCATTCCAGGCGGAGGACACAGCCAGTGCAAAGGCCCTGAGGCAGGAGCTTAGCGAGTGGCGGGGAGGAAGGAGAGTGGGGGGAGGTGAGGCAGTCAGGCAGGGCCCAATGCGTTGTAAGGATGGCTTTGGCTTGTTCTCCAAGTGTGGTGGGAGCCATGAAGGGCGGCGGGCAGAGGAGGGGTGTGCCCTGACTCAGGTGTTCCAGTGACCTCTGGCTGCCGTGTGGAGAGCGGACTGGAGAGGCCGAGAGTGGAGGACCAGGGCAGAGGCAATGGCAGCAGTCCAGGTAGACAGCGATGGACAGCTGCGATTCCTCCCTCTGGAGTCCCCGGGGGCTGGACCACAGATCAGACCGCAAGGCATCACCTAGTCCCATCACCCCTTACAGTTGAGGAACCCGAGGCCCAGGTGATCTCGAGCGCCATGACTGAGGCCCAGGTGTCCTGACACCCGGGACAGTGAAGCTGGGAAAACTCGGAGCCTCAGAAGAACCTGAAAGCCAGGTGGAGATGGATGGTGTATGTCTCCAACCTTTGCTCTCTTAGAGCGTTTGGGAGAATTGCTGTGGTCGACACCCACCACGCAACCCTTGAACCCAGCCCCAGATGTATCTCAGAAAGGCCGGGGCAAGTACAAGGTGGGGGTGAGGAGGAGGAGGAGGCAGTAAGGCTCCTGCCCAAGGTCTGGAGTCAGGTGGACCCTAGGGCCTATACTCCTTCCTGGCTGTGAGACCTTGAACCAGGGATGTAATCATCCTAAGCCTTGGCTTCTCCATGTGAAAAATGGAATAATAATAGTACTTTATGCAAGTGAATTGGGCTATTGTGGAAGGTTTAAAAAATCATAACTAGGAGGTACTTAGTATATAGTCTATCAGACTGAAAGGGCTTGTCTCCCCTGTCAGGCACTTAGGACATAGCAAGTATCAATATTATCCTCCTATCATGCTTCTGGAAAAGTGTTTTGCTAACAGCCAAGGTTTTTTAAAAAACCCAGATTTGTGGTCACGAGAAATGCTGGGTTAAACAGTCAGGATAGGTTTCTTTAGTGAGACTCCTCAAGGCCTTAATACACCGACATGCTTCAAGTAAAAGCCAAAGTCCTCACTGTGGCCCACAAGGCCCTGCATTATCCGTGGTGTCGCCTCCCAGGCCTCATCTCCTCCCACTGGGCTCCTTGATGTCCCTCAAACACACCCGGCATGCTCCTGCCTCAGGACCTTTGCACTGGCTGTTCCTTCTGCCTGGAGAGACACACGACTTGTTCCCTCACTTCCTCACGTGTTGGCTAAAATGTCACCATTTCATCAAGGTCTGAAATAGCTCCTCCATCACTCATCCCGCCTCTTACCCTGTTTTATATTTCTTCCCAGCACTTAGCATCCCCTGGCTACAATACACTAATTTGCTTATTGTGTTTCTTAGAACATCCGCCCTATGAGGGCAGAAGGCTTTTTTGTTTTGTTCAGTGCTGTGACTGCCAGGGCCTAGAACAGGGCTTGACGCCGTGGGTGCTCTGTAAATATTCCTTAAATGAGCGAGTGGTGATTAAGAGCATGCATCTGGAACCAGATAGATCTAGGTTCAAATACTGTCACGCCCACCGTGCCATGCAGTGTCAGCTGTCCGTGACTCATTTCCTCATGGGCACCGTAAGGTTTTAACAAGCAGAGGACTCTTCAGTCCCTGGCTCGGGCCCCATACACCACCAGCTCTTTACAACCATCTGTCCCCTCCCAGAGTTCCCTACCCTCTGCCCTGCCAGGGCCGAGACTCACCGAGCACTTGATGTTCATGCGGGAGTAAAGCATGGATGCGATTTCACTCTGCCCTGCATCCAAGGCCACCATCAGAGCTGTGCTCCCATCCTGTAAAGCATCCGTTGCTGTGAGGACACCCAGTACTGTGCTCCCACCCTCCCAGAGGTGCCCCTGGGCGGGGACTCACGCGGTCAGTGAGTGAGATGTCGCAGCTGGGCACGGCCAGCAGCAGCCCCGTGATCTCCTTGTGGCCGTGCTCGCAGGCACACATGAGAGCCGTGGAGCCATCATCATCTTGCACATTGACGTCTGCCTCGCAGGCCAGCAGCGCTTTGACCACGTTCACCCGCCCATGGCTGACGGCCAGCATCAGGGCGGTCTGCCCCGCCTGGGCAGGGAGAGGAATGATCTCATGAAGCATGCAGGCCCCCAGGCATGATGTCCCTGCTCCAGAACCCTCCGTGGTTCTCAAGTACTCTGACGCTAACAGCACCCCCGCTTGCTTGCCCCTGTATCTCAAACAGTCTTTCCCGCCACAGGCCTTTGCATTTGCTGGTCCTCCTTCCCCCCATTTCAGGTCTCACCTTAAATGTCTCCTTCTCAGGGGGTGGCACTTGCCTCCGCCCACTTAAAGCAGGTGTCTAATTCACAGGCGTAAGCGTATATAAAAATTTACTGTACTAAGATTTGTACACTTTTCTGTATGTCAGCTGAACCTCAATAAAATTATATCTGTGTTTATCAGTGGATGAACAGAAACAAATTGTGGTTAAACACGTACTATACAATATGCACCCTGGAAAAGAAATGAGGTGCATATGTACACTACAGCATGGGTGAATCTTGAAAACATGCTCAGTGAAAGAAGCCAGACACTGATGAACACGTGCTACATGGCTCCATCTACATGAAACATCCACGGTAGATAAATCCATGGAGACAGGAAGCAGACTGGTGGTTGCGGGGGCTGGGGAAGAGGGAATGGGGGGTGACTGCTCACGGGTGCAGGGTTTCCTGTAAGGGTGATGGGAATGTTCTGGGAGTAGACAGAGGTGATGGTGACATTGTGAATGTACTAAGTGCCACTGAATCATACACTTTGAAACGGTTAATCTTATGTGAATTTCACCTCAATTAAAAAAAGTAAACCACTAAAAAATTACTTTTAGTTAAAAAAATGAAAACAATAAGGAAAGCAAGCGGGTCTGCCGCTCCTCCGCATCACCGCAGGACCCTGCTCCTTTCCCGGACTGTTTAGACTGTGGCAAACCCCTGCCCTCCTCGCTGTCCCCACGGGGCCACGGCTGCCTCGCTCGTCTGCCTGGACACCCATCCAAGCCCCTGCTGCCTCCGCAGTCATGCAGCCGAAGGAAGATGTCAAACCAGAAAGCCGGCCACGCCACTGCCCTGATCGAATGCCCCGAGTGGCCCCCCGAAGCCCCCGAGTCAAGCCCGCTCCCAGCCTCCCTGCTGCCTGAAAAGTTTGTGGCTCCCGGAGCCCCGGACTGGCTGGTGAACGGCAGGGGTGTGGGGACCATGCCTGCTTGTTTACCATTTGATCCCCGCACATCCAGTTGCTGCATAGGGAATTTCCCAAGCAAGATATGGGACAGTGTCGCGTTAAGAAAGGCTGAGGATCCCCATGTCCTCCCCCATCCCCACTAGAAGGTCCTGCGTCAGAGGTAGCCTGGAGGCCAGATCAGAAGAACAAGGCTCTGGACCCTCTGAGTTCCAATCACCCCTCCTCTAGTTTGACCTTGAAGAAATGGCTGCTTCTCTGAGCCTCATCTGTGGACTGGGGGCTCTCTGCGCATGGAATGAGATTGTGTTTGGGCTTGGCACACAGCCAAGACTTAGTGAATGGGAAGGGCTGCCCAGGTCTGCGGTGCCGAGGGCCCATACCTGGCTGGCTTTGGCGTTGACATCTCCGAGCCGAAAGAGCTTCAGGACAGTCTCGATGTCATCCTGGGACTTCAGGGTGGCCAGGGCAGTAAGCATGATGGGGCTGTAGCCGGCACGATTCTGCTTGTCCACCTGGCAAACGCCTAGGGGGAGGGGGCGGGAGAAAACGAGCCCTCAGACCCTGCCGATGTGAGCCAGGCCTGCCCCAAGGTTGGAGGACGGTCCCCAAGGTCCCATGCTCTGCCATCAGATTGGGAGCCTGTTTCCCTCTGCCATAGTGAGCACTGGGCATCATGTTGCCTCCATCAGTCCAGGCGTGACCTAACTGCACCCTTTTCTCACACCGAGAACTCCATTCTGCTCCAGGGTGTGTCTCCATTATGTTACCCCATTAGATAAGTGGCTTCAAAAAGGGGAGACTGCACATTTCCGCCATCAGACTGGCACCCACACTGAGGGCTGAGAGTAGGAGCTACGTCTCTAGAACAGCCAGACTCCTCCAGACTGGCCTGTGCCTCGTCCATCGGACTGGGGAGCTGTGTCCTCCCGGTCTGACCAGGAAAGGGCAATATTTTCCTGTCGAATCGAGGACCCCATCTTCTCTCCACGTCCCAGGCTGGAGGCCACGTCTGTCCCTCAGAAGAGGGCTCCACAGCAGTGGCTTCATCACACAGGGGTCCTTGTGGATGGTGGAAGGGCCACATGTTTTCCATGAGACCCTGACTACAGGTAGGGCCTGCACCTTCCCCACCTGACTAGAAGGGTGGTGTCTTCCCCATCAGACCAGAGAACCAGGGGTGGCAGCCAGCCCCCTGCCCCCTGCCCCAGAGCCCCCTCGTTCCGCCTAGCGGGGCTCACCACTGTCCAGCAGCTGCCGCACAACAGGGAAGTTGGCGTGGGACACAGAGTAGTGCAGCGCGGTGTTGCCGTTGCTGTCGGCGATGTTGACCACGTAGTCCAGCAGCCGAGCCGACATGGCGCGGAACGTGACCAGGTGGCGCCGCACAAGCTCGGGGTGGGCATCGCTGCGGCAGGCCAGGCGCAGCCACTCCTGCAGCACCGTGGTGTAGGCCACTTTCTGGACGCGGGGCGCAGAGGGGCATGAGGGCAGGCGGCAGCCCACCCTCTCCAGGGCAAAGCCCCACGAGGGGAGTGCGGACGCCCCCATCCTGAAGCAGAGCCTTGAAGGGGGAGCGTGGGCACCCCACCCAGACGAGCCCCTGGAATACAGTGTCATGTCCCTGTCCTAGACAAGGACCCTAGAGGGAGGTGTAGACACGGCGATCCCAGATCTGCCCCCCAGAGGAAGACGTGAGTGCCTCCATCCCAGATGCGACCTTCAAAGGCGAGTGTGGGCACGGCTAGAGGGAAATATGACAGCCCCTTCCCTCAAGCCCCCAAAGGACCAGGAACCAAGGGCAGTTGTGCTGGTAGCTGATCATCCTTGGGCCCCTCCCTGCCTTCCTGGCCCCTCTCCAAGGCTCATGAACTCAAGCACACACCCCCAAGCCCCTGGGAACCCCCAAAGCAGGCACAGGGAGACACTGCGGACAAGGAAAAGCCAGGGTACACAGAGTAGGGAAGGAAGGCCCTCCCCCCAGGCCCAGGGCCCCACCATACCAGCTCCCGCTCGGTGAGGGCATTGGGGTTGTCCAGGTACTTTTCCAGGGCCAGGCAGGCTGAGATGAGGTCGGGGCTTAGCTCCATCCTGTCAGGGAGAGGTGCGGGGGTTTATCTTGGGAATACCCACCTCGGCCTCCTGGGCCTCCCCTATTTCCCACATCTGGGTGGGGGGCTGAGAGAGGGCCTCGATGCTCTCCGCCATGACACTCGCCCAGCCCTGCCAGGGCTCCCCTGAGTGGTGGAACCTCAGAACACATTTTTATACTATACCCTAGGGGCAGACATGGGGAACAAACAGATCCTAAGAGAAAGTGGATGTAGAGGCCAGTTTATTCCAAATGGTCAGTGGTAGATGGGAAATCTTTCTCCAAGAACAGATTTTTTCATCGGGATAAAAAAAGAGATAAACAGGACAGACAGGTGGGGCAAAAATGTCCCAGAGAAGGTGAGCAGCTTAAGGACAAATTCTGTCTGCTCCTCAAACAACCCAAATTGCCTCTGTCAGGCCCTTCATTAAAGCCTCCAGGCTTTCAAGATGCAGGACAAAGTACTTGTTTGCTAATTCCGACAAGGGCATGCATGACTGATGGGGTATTCCCTCAAAAGGCTTGAATGGTGGGATCTGAGGCAGATTTGCCCCCCACACCCCCTGCCTGAATCCTTGCCGTCCAGGAAACTGACCGGATCTCCTCCTCCTCATTTGATGGCGATGCCCCCGCAGCTGTGGGCACACGCTGACACTCCCGAGAGAGCTGGCACTCTTGCCGGCTGGGATTGGCCACTGCCGTCCCCGGGGGCCTGAGCAGTGGGGCTGCGGCCACACTCGGCACCCGCTCCTCGGGCTCTGGGGCCTCGTTCTCGGTGCTCTCGTCTGAGAAGTTCTCCGCCGTGCTGGAGTCCTCAGACGAGGACTCGTACCTGGAGAGGAGGGGCGGGGCGTGGTGCGGGAGGGGCGTGGGGCTCTGACTACTGGACTTCAGCTTCCCCATGTGTTAAAGGCGGATGACAGTGTGGACCTCGCAGGGCTACAGGAGCATGCCTTACAGCACCTGGCGCACGGCACGCGCTCCTTAAAGAGGTGTCCCTCATCCGGACCCTGCCCCACTGTGCACAGGGCCCTCAAGCTTCTTGCTTCCTCCGGACAAAGTCTAAGCTTCCTGGCATTCAAGGCCCCAAACTGTCCCTGTCCATTGCTTGCCATACCTCCTGCTTCTCATGTCACTCTGCTTCCTCCCACTTCTAAGCCTTTATTCGGGCTGTGTCCCCCAAACAGGAGAGCCCTCTTACCCCCCCTCTTCATTTTGCTAGTTCCTGCTGTCGTGCAGCAGACATGTCTCCTCCTTCAGTGACTTCCCTGGCGGCGGCCATGCCTCCCTGAGATCCCACATTGCCTGAGTGTCCCCATCATTGCTCCAACTACGCTGCCGGAACCCATCAGGGCAGGGAGCCGAGCCTGCCTCCTTCCGAGGGGTAGGGCAGTACAGTGGTGATAGCACAAGCTCTAGAGCCAGACCGACCACCAGGGCCGACTCCTGCTCCCACGTGTGCTCTCGCGAGGCGCTCAGCCTCACTGTCTCAGTTTCCTCATCGGTCTATTGTGCTTTAGCTAAAAGAGTGAATCAAAGTGAGGGGCTTAGACCAGGTCCTTGGTACATTCTTGGGCACAAATGAATCAAGGACCAACTAGGGTGGAAGCTGAGGAAAGGGTGGGAGTGTGGTGGGGGCTCCTCTCACCCGCCATTGACCCCCACGAACTGGAGGCTCCTGCGGTGGGCCTCGGAGTCTGATGGCTCCTCTCTCCGCTCCATGATGGACCTCACGCCTGCCTGAGGCCTGCCTGTGGGGAAGGGTGGTGTCATGAAGGTCTCCCAAAGCCAGATCCCGTGCCCAGGCCTCCTGTGCCACTCCCACTTACCTGCACTTCGGGCCTCCTCTGACTCACGTGAGGCTGCTTGCCTGGTGGGCTCCCTGTTGGTGGCATCGAGGGTGGGCGCCCGGCCTGTGTTCTTCATGGGCTGTGCCAGGGAGGCTGCTGCGGACCCTGGGGGTGGTAAGGATGACTCTGCAGGAGCCTGTGGGAGACCTGGAGGGGCGGGAAATAGGCACTCGCTGTGGGCGACAACAAAGCAACGACAGTGATAAGTGTCTCCCTCCGGGGCCAGGTGCTCCGAGGGCTAATTACTTCATCAAACTTTCCCAGTCCATGAGAAGTCGGAGTATTACAGGTGAGTAAACTGAAGCACAGAGGGTTGCCCAAGGCCACTCAGTGAACGAGCTGCAGAATCCAATTCCAACTCTGGTTCGCTGCCTGCCCCACAGCTGGTCAGGGACAGGGAGGACCCTGTAACTCCACATCCTGGCTCATGACCCCCTCCAACATACTGAGTGTCGTCTGGACACAAGGTTTGATCATAGCTGACTGTTGGTCACTGTAGGGAATCGCATCTCTCAGGAGCGAGCTGTGTGACCTCAGGCAACTTACTTAACCTCTCTGTGCCTCCAGAGAATGACATTCCTACCTCCTGGAGTCTCATGCAGACTAGACAGTAAAGCGGGATGCAACACTTAGGACGATGCCTGCACATCGAGAGTGCTCAAAAAGCATCTAATTCAAGAGAATTGTAAACTATATTTTGATAAGATGATACTATGATTTTTTTTTTTTTTTTTACAAAAGCAGGGTTAATAGATACACATCTATTAACCCCTGTGCTGTAGATATCATTTTGTATCTGGCTTCCTTTTATCCTGTACTTAACTTTACACAGGTGTTACTTTAATAATCAGGAAAAAGAAACAATAGAGCTATTGGAAAATGAAAATGAAAACCCCACCCAGGCAGTTTCTGTTTGGAGAGCCGAAAAAGTTTTAGAGGTGGAGGGTGGTCATGGCTGCACAACAGTGTGAATGTGCTTAATGCCATGAACTGGACACTTAAAAATGGCTAAAATGGGAAATTTTATGTTATGCATATTTTATCATGATTTTTTAGAAAACCCACCTAGGTTGGCCTAAGGACCAAGGTGACTTTGTAGGCACCAGACCCTGAAGGTGCCCAGTGAGCATCTGGAAGTAGGGCCGGCTGGGAGCTCTAGCCCTAGATCACCAGCCTGGAGCGAGGGACAGAAGTCTAGTCACCACCCTGAGCAACTATCCAAGTCTCAGAACCGCTCAGGTCCCCCCCAGGCCACATGAAGCTCCCCTGTCACACTTCCCCAGGACTTCCCCTTCCTGCCACTGGCCACAGGCTCTGCAGACCAATTCATTTTAATTCCCTTAACAGTTAAAATTTTTTTTGAGATACACAGTAACTACTTTCTCAAGTCTGTGCACATACTCCACTTGAGTTAAGAACAGGGAGTAAATACTTGGGAGAAGCACATAGACAGATGAGACACTTGGCCATAAATGTGTCCGACAGCACCCCAGCCCAGGGCGTCACCGGGCCAGGCCGATTCCAGAGCTGGAGCCTGAACCCTGACGGGGGCCAAGAACATAGGCTGGGTTTTAATGTGAATCTCCTGATTTTTAAAAAAACCTTGTCAATAAATTCACGTCAAACAAACAAAAACATTTCGTGGCCAAGTGGAATGTGTCAGGAGGCAGATGGCCAGTTCATAATCTCAGTGTCTGCCCAAACTCAGGGCTCCTGGTCTAAACCCTGGGAGGGCTGAGGGAAACAAGCCAGGCACGAGAGAACAAATGCTGTGTGATTCTACTTTCAGGAGGACCCTGGAGGAGTCAGACTCATAGAGACAGGAAGTAAAATGGTGGGTGCCAGGGGCGGTGGGCGGCGGGAAGGCTGGAGGTGGTTTGTGTTTAATGGGGACAGAGTTTCAGTTTGGGAAGATGAAAAAGTTCTGGGGATGGATGATGACAATGGCTGCACAACAATGCGACTGGGCTGAATGCCACCGATCTAGACATTGAAAAAGGATTATGATGGTAAATCTTATATTTTATCACCAGTTTTTAAAAAATGAAAATAAAATGGAGCAGGACCACGGCCCATTCCACTCCCAGGGAAAAGCAGGCCTTGCCTCCAAAAGCTTGGGCAGCTACTTTCCAGTGTGAGTTCAAGGTCTGACTCCGCAATGCTAAAATCACAAGAACAATAATGAGATTGATACTTACTACTGTTACTGCACTGCGGGGTGGGGAAACCCATACCAAAATATATGTGGCAGAACTAAAGTCCATGACCAGTTATGACCACTGTACAAAAAGAGGCAGACATGGGGAACCTTGCCTAGGAGAGTAAAACATATTCCAAAGCCACAACAGTCCAAGCAGGGGGACGTTATTGCGGGGAGAGATGGGCCGGAGGAACAGAGGAGAGGGAGCCCAGCACAGCCCTCTCTGAGGGAACTTGGGGCCAGACAGGAGTTTCCACAGACCAGTGGTAAAGGGTGGGCTCTGTGGTGTGGGGTTGGGGAAAACAGTTTCTTCTAGCCAGGAAAAATCAAGCTGGATCCCTACCTCACGCCTTACACAGAAAACAAACTGAAGGAATAATATGAAGGTGCAACTCAAAGCCATAGGAAGAAAATGTAGCACAGTATCAGAGGCGTCAGAAAAGGGAAAGATTCCTTTAAAAATTCCTCAAAGCACAAAGCACATATGAAAAACACAAGGTGATCTCACTTTTATGTAGACTCTAATAAAACCGAACTCGTAGATACAGAGAGCGGATTGGCAGTTGCCGGGGGCAGGGGACGAATGGGTGAAGAGGGTCAAAAGGCACAAGCTTCCGGTTATAAAATAAATCCCAGGGATATAATGTACAGCATGGTGACTACGGTTCTCATAATAGTGCGTGGTACATTTGAAAGTTGCTAGAGAGTAGATCTTAAACATTCTCATTACAAGAAAAGAAAAACTGAAACTCTGTAAAGTGACAAGACTTACTGTGGTGATCATTTTGTAACATATTATCTATATCAAATCCTTAATGTGTGCTCCTTAAACTAATACAATGCTATATGTCAATTATATCTCAGTAAAAATGGAAACATTAAAAAAAAAGTTCAACTACATCTGACATGAAAATTTCTATTTACTAAAAACTGAACAAAAAACTCATAGACAAAGTTGACTAATAGAAGAACATAGATGGGGGGAAGATATTCAATGCCAAAAATGGAGAAGCAATTTTATCCTTCTAGAACAGGAGTCAACAAACTTTCTCTGTAAAGGGCCAGATAGTAAATATTTTCTCTACGTGAGCCAGAAGGTCTCAGTTGGAAATAGCGCTAAAGCAGCTCTGGATAGTATGTAAATAAATGGGTGTGGCTGTGTTCTTTTAAATTTGAATTTCATATAATTTTGTTCATGTCACAAAACGTTACTCTCCTTTTCATACTGTTCAACCAGTTAAAAACATAAAAACCATTCTTAGCTTGTGAGCCATATAAAAACAGGCAGCAGACTAGATTTGGCCTGCAGGCTGTAGTTCACCAACCCCTATTCTGGGATATGCCAGGAACTTCTCAAAATTGTCCAAAAAAAGTGGATGAAGGCTACAAATAAGCGGTCCACAGAAGAATCTCATTATACATATATGGTAATGCCCAACTTCAAAAGAAATCAAAGAAATGCAATTAAAACAACAAAGAGATACCACTTTGTACCAAGGTCAGACGGACAAAAAATTAAACAGATAAAACTGTATGTTGGTGGGGATGTGGGGAAACGGGCACCTCGGACCCAAGCACAGCTGATGAGAGTGTGGACAGGGAGAGCTTTTCTGGAGAGAATCATATAGAACTAAAATTGTGCATCTCCTGTTAACCAGTGACCCTACAGGAGGGGACAGGTGAGGATGGCCCTAGCACTGCTCATAGCAGTTAGCAACTGAAAGTAACCTTTCAGTTGGGGGAGGGGGTCGGTCAGAAAGGAAACAGGCTAGGGCATTAAAAGTGACAAACCAGATTTATGAACATCGGGTGAAGAGTTCAATAATAGTGTGCACAGAAGAAAAAATAAGAACAAAATTTTTTTTTTCTAAAGCACAATACCATTTTAGGAAATTAAACACATGCAGGGCATATTTTTCAAGGACACCCAAATATCTAAATAAGCTTCTAGAAGGTGGATTGCCAGGAATGATATTAAGTGGGGTGAGGGTGGGAATTCATGATGCGGGGGCGGGGGGGTGTGAATGGCGTAGAGACTGACAAACTATGGCTCTAGGGCACATTACATTTTTAAATGGTTGGAAAAAAATGTAAAGGATTCTATTTGGGACACGTGAAAATATATGAAATTGACATTTCAGTGTGGATACATTATGTTTTCTTGGCACATAGCCACTCTCATTCACTCATTTATACCTACATTGTTTATGTCTGCTTTCATACTCCAAAGGCAGAACCCTGCACCAAATTCATCATAATGCATACATTAAAAATGTGCAATTTTTGTATATTAAGTATACCTTAATAAAGCTAAAAAAAAAAACAAAAAACGAGTACCACTGAGTCATGGCAACAGAGATCGCATGACCCGCAAAGTTGAAAATATTTACTGACGCTCATCACTGAAGGCAGAGATGAAGGCGAGTCAGGGAAACAGGTGCGTTGCCACGAGCTGAAGAATTTCATTAACTCAGATCTGTGCTCTGTAAGTCCAAGAGAAATCGTTAAGAGTTTAAATTACTCAGCCACCCTGGTAGGGTATAAAGCAATGTGGTAACAGACATCGAGGTCCTCGAAACTGCCCTTTCAGGAACTGCTGAGAAAACACGTAAGAGGACGTGAGGGGTCCTGCAGAAGGACGTCTGCGTGGCGCCCTTGAAAGTAAAGAAAAAATAAGTAGCACAGCCCGGGAATTTTTAATAACATGAGGAAATGCCCCTGAGATAATGTTAAATCGAAGAAATCCAAGAGTTTCAATCCTGGCTTCGAGAACCATGGGCAAATTCCTTAACCTCCCCGTGCCTCAGTTTCCTCATCTGTAACACGGAGATTAAAAGCACCACGTCACCTCATAGAGGTTCTGCAGACTTAAAGCAATTAAAATACGAAAAGGGAATCAAATAATGCCTTGGTCTGTAGTAAGGGCTGCCTAAATGCTTTTAAAAATAAAATAAAGCAAAATGACAAACTTCACCAGCTCCGTGTCATGAGATTTAAAAAATATATTTCTTCTGTGTTAAAAATTTCAGAGGGAAAGAAGTATTGACAGCAGCTGTGTTTGGCGCGGGTGGGTTTAAGGGGGTTTTATTTTGTGTTCTAGATTTTTCTGTACTTCCTAAAGCTTCCACAGAGAACACGAACTGCTTTCATAGGAATATGTTTTGAACAAAACAAATTTCAAAGCCTTGGAGACCCCACGGATGCACATGACTGGCTGCCCCTTCTCCCACTGATCGCTCTGTGGGGCCTTGCGAGGTGGGGGGATGGGCCTTTGGGGGTCTCCATGCCTCTAGTAGCCCTACCTACCTTTGCCAACTGGAGGGGAAGGCTGCCACTCACCCTTCTCACCTTTCGACTGCAGTGAGCAAATTCGAGGTGGCAGAGAAGGCTGGGCTCCTCTTTGCCTCCTCCTCCAGGAAGCCCTCTCTGACCTATGCATCTGGCTGACCCACCTAAGCAAATTCATGGTACAAACACTTGTCAAGTCTTCGAAGTACCTCATGTCCCATATTGCTCCCTCCCGTCTACAAGCCCTGGAGGACCCAATCCTGATGTTCAAGCTATCCCGGACCTCTCTTCTCTGGCCTCATCCTATTCCACACCCACGCCCCGCCCTCACCTCAAGGCCTTTCTCCCTGGCGTGCCCCCTCCCCGAATGCTCTTCTCGCCTCTTTGCCACCTGGCTGCTTCTTTCCTGTCACATCTCATTTCAAAGAACCAACAGCTAACCCCAGGCACCTACTAAGTGCCTGGTGCTATGAATTGAAACATTTAAGCCTCACATTAATCTGGTGGCATCAGCCTGTCAGGATCCCCAATTTGCACACCAGGCACAGAGAGGTTAAATTGCTCAGGGCCACAGAGCTAGGGGGCAGGGAAACCAGCGTTTGAACCTAGGCTACCACCCCATGGAATCCCTGCTACCCCATGCCTGTTTATCTGCTTCAAACTTGTATTTTCTGAAACGATATTTCTTCGCTTATTTATTGTGGTCTCTTATCTGTTTATTGCAGGAGTTTGTCTGTCTTGTGCACTGCTGTGTCTCCAGTGCTTAGTAGAGTTTGGTACACAGCAGGCACTTGATGAACGTTTGCTGAATGAATAGACATTGAAATGATTAGCACACGCCAGTTCCAATTAAGCAAGGTGGAGACTGGTGCTGGCTGCAGCAAGAGGGAGTTAAGTGAGACACAAGGAAGGACTGTTAGGACTTCCATAGGGTGGGGACATTGCTATGTCTGTGTGTCCTGCAGGCAGGAGGCCCCATGGCTGCCCTGGAAAGCATGTCTGGAATGGAGGCTGCCTCTCAGATCTCGAGGCTGGGCCGGGCAGGGCCCCTGGCTGGGGGCCAGAGTCACAGGGCCTGGTGTTTGGGATGGATGCAGAACAGAGGGGTGGTGCCCGGAGCTGGCCAGGAACAACATGGGGAAGCAAGGAAACATATCTGGGTCCCCACCCTCCAGCTGTGCCCGCTGGTCCCACCATGGGGTTCTGGCCACCTGACATTCGAAACTGGGTGGGGGACTTGGCCCCACCTCTGAGCCATGCTGCAGGTTCAGATCCTGGCTTAGCCACTCCCTGGCTATGTGACACCAGACAAGTGCAGCTTCTCCCTGAGCCTCAGTTTCCCCAACTATAAACAGAGTCGTCCTGAAAATCATCAGCAGAAGTAGCAACGAGCTCTGACTGAGCACGTACTGTATGTTCTAATTCATGAGTGTCCTAGAGGTGGAGACCCTTATTATGCCACTTCACAGACAGGAAAGCTGAGGCCCAGAGAGGTGAAATTGCTCGCCCAGGGACACACAGCAAGAATTGAGATTTGAATCCAGATTGCCTGGCTGCACAGTTCCCAGTCTTCAGCTCCTCCGTGGGTGAAACACTCAGCATAGCACTCAGCACCACACTGGTGTCCGATAAAGAACAGCTGTTGTCATCATGAATCACTCCAGTAGCTTCTCCCAGGGGCCCAACAGTGGTAGAGCAGCTGCCATCCTGCACATCCCACATCCCCTTTCTTGACATGAGGACTCAGCACTTCCTCCAAGGGGCACCCCCTCCCTCCCTCAGGACTTGGGTGGGGCTCTTCTATCCCCATCATCCAGGGGTAGGCAGCTAGGGACACAAGGATTAGCTCAGTGTCGGGCATGTGACTCAAACCAGCCAACGAGTGCCACCCCTAGGATTTTTACTGGCACTCTTTGGACTGAGGGGCTCCCTTTCACAGAGCTGCAAGGGCAGATGCCGAAAACAGTGGGGCCACCTTCTCCTGCCTGAGAGAGAAACCTCCAGGTTGCACAGAGGAAGAGAAAAAGAAACACAGAGTCCAGAGCACCTGGATCCAGCTATGCCTGAAGCTGTCCCTAAGTTAAATGAACAACACATTTCCTTTTCATTGCTTAAAAGGGTCTGAGATTAGTTCCTGCCACATTGACTATAAACAGGAAAGATTTTTTTTGCCCAGCAAACTGACAGCCTTGGGGACCCTCCGCCCCCCAAATACCTCGTTTTCTGGACACTTACAATGAGCTAGAATGAGAACACACACTTAACACCCGATTTCTCTGCATGGTCCCTACAGCACTGAGTTGGTGGCACAATTTTGCCCCCTTTTTGCAGATGAAGAGACAGAGGCTCCGAGAAGAGGAGCGGTCTGTCTGGTGGAAGGCCAGGACTGGAGCTGGACCCTGCGATTCGGATGAAGAAAGAAGGACCCTCTATCATCCTCCCCGGACAGTTAAGGCTCACCTGCTGGCCCACCGCAGCTTCGCTCTGTGATGCTGATCTTCTTCACCAGGTGGACATTGCCAGTGGATGGAGTGGGCGCGGGGAACACCGTCTCCACCACCTCATGGCTGCGGAACACAGGAGAGCTCTCGGCCCCTCCAGATGTTGCCAGGGCCCGCAGCCCTGCCCCGTAGGGCTCCAGACTCTGGGCCCGCTGTGCTGGGGCCCCGGCGGCTGTGCTGGCTGCCACCTCCACCTCTCGTGGCCCCTCTACCACCCGGATGGTGTCCACGCGAACTGGGCTGTCTGGCGGTGGCCAGGCCTGGGGCTGAGGATCAGCCTGCCGGGCTTGAGCTGCCTGCAGCTCCTGGAGCGCTTTCTTGAGCTGGGTCTCCAGCACAGCAACCTTGGCAGCGAGGGCTGCCTCCCCGTCGGGCATGCCCAAGTCCCGCTCTCGGACCCAGGTGCCCACGCTCCGGGTCTCCAGTGCCACAGGGTCCTCGGGGGTCTCAGGGAGGTCCAGGCAGAGCTCGCTGCGGCTCCGGACCCCCGTGGGGTGGCCCAGGAATTTCTGGCTCTTGAGCTGCACTGTGAGCTGCCGCTTCTCCTCTTGTAGCACCGAAAGCTTCACCTGAAGCACGGGGATCAGCTTTACCTGCTCCTCGAGCTGCCGCAGCTTCCGCAGGGCACCCGCCATCTGCTCCCGCACATGGGCCAGGTGCCCGGCGCTGGGTGGCACTGGCGTGGACAGTCCCGAGCCCCGTGGCGTCGGGGGCGGCAGCCCCACGCCTACCAACGAGCTCGTGGAGCCCGCCATGCTCGGCGTCAGGGAGCCCAAGCCAGTGGGTGCGGCCGCCTGGTCCTCGAGGCGGCGCCGGGCATCCAGCAGCGTGCGCTCCACACGCGGGTTGAAACCGCCGCGGGCCTCCAGGGCGCCATACTGTGGATAGAAGCCCCGCCCGCAGTAGGAGTAGGCTGAGTGGCGGCTGTCCCCACTGGCATTGGAACACAGCGACTCGGTGGACGTCCACCAGGACCCAGGGCCTCGGGGAAGCGAGCCCAGGCGGGGCCGGCGCTGCACGGCCACGCGTCGCAGCGTGTGGCCCTTCTCAATGTCGTCCACATATTTGAGAAAGTCCAGGTCCAGGCGGTAGCCGTAGGGCGTCTCCACGGAGTAGGGAGGGTCGGTCTCCTTGGCGGGGAAGGCAGGTGGGGAGGCTGGGCCAGGGGTCCCTGGGGCAGGGAGAAACACCAGCACCTCTGAACACTGATATCCCCTCTGGAGGAAGACTGATGCCCCCAGGAGAGTCAAGGTCTATTTGCCCGAGGGAAGGGAGCCCACTGGCCCTCACCTGCTCAAGTGTTTAGCCCTTTTCAACCCCCGTCTCCCTCTCCCACAGAACAGGGCCCTCGTCTCCCTCTCAGACTCTCCAGCCACAGCCAAGCTTTTCCCATTCAGGCGCTCGGGGCGGGGCTCTGTCCCATCCTCAACCCCCACCCCAGGTACAGCCATATCTCTCTCCTCTTTTAGGCCTCCAGCACAGGCCCACCTCCCCTCACCCTCCCTCCTCCAAGCCCTGGGCAGGGCCCTCTTCCTCCCCAGAGGCCTGACCTGGGAAGGGGGCTGGCGCATGCAGGACTTGGGCCATCCTCTGGGCTGCGGATGCTCCTCAACGATCACTGAGAGACCCTGAATCCGACCACCTGCAGCACAGGCTGAGGCTCACCTGGGGAGAGGGGGCGATGCAGATGGGAGTCAAGAGGGGTCTGCAGGGGGAGGGGGGAGATGTGGCCACCCCCCTCCACGGCTGTTCCCCTCAACACCCCTCTTCCTTGGGTATGGGACCCTTTCGTAGGCGCACACCCAGCCAGGCTGTGGAAAGGGGTGGGGGGGCCCCCACGGCCTGGAACAAAGAAACCAAACCTCACAGCCTGCCGGCACATCTGTCCAGCCCCTGGACAGGCTCCAGCTGTTGCTACAGCCCAGCCTCCATGAGGCCCCCAGGGCAGGGGCCCCAAGCCCTATAGGCCCCACCCTTCCTGCACCCCAATCCCCCAGCCCAGGCCAGGAGCTCGTTATGAGGACAGATAGGGGCTGAGATGGGCAGGGGTCTGGGATGCTAATGCAGGAGGAGGGGGGAGTCTTCCTGTAAGGATCTAAGGAGACAGAGACTCAGGGACACAAAGAGAACTCAGGGGAGGGAACCCCAAAACAGAGCGGGGTCAGGCCAGCAGGGTGGGGGGGTGGTAG